CCTAAACAACTATGGATAGAAGGCTTATATAGAGAGAAAAGAAACCAAATTTGTTTCCAACTTGGCATTTTATATTAACACGCTGTATGTCCTTAATATTATTTGAATATGAGTTTCAAAAAGTTCATTTTGATACCTGTGTGTATATATACATACACAGGTATCAAAATGAACTTTTTGAAATGGTATATATACACACATATATATATACACATATATATATGTATATATATATATATATATATATATATATATATATATACCATTTTAAAAGCCCTGGTTTTCTTTAACAAAATGTCTTATACATCACAGGTTTGACTCTCCTGATACCTGTACTTTCGGAATAGGTGGGACATGCACGGGGGAGAATAATGCTTCATGTAAAGATGAATTTTCCATCGTCGGAAAAGAAGTTTCCAACTTCTAACTACTCAGATTTGTCCTGAGAATGCAGGCATAATAATGCCACCACTGTAAGGAGGTGAAATGCATGGAGTTTAGCAGTAGGGATAGATTGATACTGGCTTGTGGGAGCTTCCCACACTTATTCGCTCTTTGTTTTTCTCCCAGTCAATGAAAGAAGTTATAAAATATTATAACCTTAATTTTCCATTCTAAATGTCTCAGTTGAACATAGTCATGGAGAAAGACATTGTTCAAAGGTTCAGTTTCCTAGGGAGTCCCATTACACAGACATAGTTATGGTTTGGATCCCAAGTCCATTATGAAATCTAATAAATCACTTTTTCTTGGGAGTGAGCATGGTACTAATTCAAGTTAGAATAAGACCGTTCTCCCTAAAACCACGACTCAGATCACTAAAAACAAAGTCATTCACTGGTAACGTTCACATGTGTTTCCCAAAAGGACACAAATTTAAGTCACCCTTTTGCACTGAGCTCAAGGCGCAGGAGATAAAACGCACACACACAACCTCATGTGGAGATAACAAATACTGTAGAACTCTGGATACACAGTGTAGATGGCATGGTTCATTCCAGTGCACAGTGGAAAGTGTTACTGGAATAACCAAAATGCTAAGGAGAGGTTTCAAGATGCATGGGCAGCAAGTGTGAACTAGGGGAGAAATAGTCTGTCTTCTGGGAGAATCTCCAGGGCTCAAGTTGGCCAAGTGGAAATCTCAGCATCTTCTTCCCAATTCCTCCATTTCATCCTCTCTGATATCCTAAAATATCATCAGGAAAAAAGTGCTTTCACTACCTTATTTCCTTTCTGGCATTTTTATAAACAATTTTGGTGGAGGAAGATACACAGTTTCAAATATTGTGGAATTACATCATACGGCATTCACCTACCTACTCAAAGCTTATTCAAGATTATACTTCATATGTTTTCTAACTCTAGGTTTTTCATCTCTGCTGTTGAACCATCTAAATACAATTGAGTAATCAAAATAGATTTCACTGAGGTTTTTTTTTACAAAATTGGTTTAAATTTGAAATCAATTTAGGATAGAATCTCTTCTGATTCCTAATTTATCTTTTTCATTTTCAGTTGGTAGACGCCCAGACATTTTCTAACACATGATGTTTCAAATGAGATATGTTAAAGATATAAAATTTAGAAGAAATTTTTTACTTGGATGCAGCATACACGGGGAGGAGGAGAGATAAGGAGGAGAAGATAAGAAAGTCAGTGTCTATTTGTCTTTGGGGAGTGAGTCCCAAAGCACATTTCACTCTCCCCTCTCTTGACTTTTCATCTCCTTGGCTCTTCCCATGTGTAGCGCCTTCTCTTCTTTGACAGACTCAGCTTAGATATCTTCTCCCCAGGGAGGCCTCTCTGAGCATCCAGTGGGAACTTCCCCCTGGTACTCCGTCCCCCTATAAGCCACACCCCTCTAGGCCTTCTTAGTTCTGGTAATTCATTTGCTTACTTGCTTGTTGTTACACATTTGCTGACTTGTTTATTTACTTCTGTATTTTCTGAGTCCCCTGATTAAAACGTGAGTTCTTTCAGGGCAGGGTTTTACCTGTGTTATTCACCTGCATATTCTTGGCACTCAAACAACGTCTAACACACGTTGGGTGTTTCCCATATCTTTGTCGAATGAAGACTGATAAGGCTCTGCACTTGCTCCAGAGAAGTCTGCCCAAGCTTCCCCACACTCACCAACCTCAGGATGTCCTTTACATACACAGCCTTTGCACCCCTGTCTCTTGGCCGCTTTTCCTGCCACAGATCAATGCTGCGAAGCCCCCTCTCACTCTGCTCCCCACCACAGTGCTCCTCATCACATCTTTTCTCCTCTGAATTGTTGAAGTCTTAATATTTCTCCTCTCCCAATCACCAAGTGATCCTAGGGAAAATGATTAAACAGCTCTGTCCCTCTGCTTTCTCATCTAAAACTGAGTGAAAACAGAAACAAAATAATTGTAATTTCTATCAGTATCGGATGGGATAATCTGTATAAAACATTGAAAGCACCTAAAAATAATAAACGCTAAATGTCATAATTATCCCCACACATGTGAGCACTTAATCAAAATGCTACCTTTTATTATAATATCTCAAGTGTGTTTGTTTTGTCTCCTCAGCCTGCTGGTGCAGTGGCTAGCGTAGCATCGTGCGTACACATTAGGCAGCTCAACAAATGGTTGTCTGACTGCTCTTAATAAAGAGGGAAAGAGAGATAATGAAGAAAGGTGACCAAGCAGGTGAAATATTTTATTAACTCAATTATATTTACCTTGTATTCTTCAAATTCTGATGAAGAAAGCCCAGTGTTTCAAAGTCTGTACTTTTGCAAATAAATCCAACTTAGATTTCTACGTATTCTCAGATATTGTCTGCTTTCAAGTGAAGAGGATTCAGATATGTCACAATCTTGAGGAATACTTTATCGCTATTGTATAGAAAGCAATTAAAATACTGTCTTCAGTTTGATTTTACCTCGATGGTAATTCACAAGTCCATTGGATGGTTGCCCAGTTAACAGAAAATCAAGCAAAATGACACTGATTTCTATCTTATAGAAGTATAAGTAAATTGGCAGGTGAGATTAATAAATAGCAGGTGAAATGGAACAAATTCCACTAGCACACATTTATTGCACTTAACCAGGGGTGTGTGGTTGGCTGACCCTCCCTATCCTATAGAATTCCGATGAGTTAAACTTCTCCAACTGGCAAGTTTTCAGGGTTGATGTAATGCTGTCTGTCCCTGGACGGCTGAGCTCAGCAGCTCTAGTTCCATTTTCCTTTCCAAAGGATAGCTAAAGAAACATTCTTTGGACAAGCGTAATATGTTTGCTACATTTTAAGAAATTTTGTTCACATTTTCCTCTGTAACTCTGTTTATTGTCCCATGATTTCTGTAGATTTCATTTGGGGGGGCCAGGTGCCAAACATAGTAAAAAGAACGACGTTCAAATGAGCCCAGGGTAATCTAAAGGAGGGGCATGGATCTGATGTTCCAGAAAAGAAATTTGTGCCTCATGTCTGTACAGAATCCAGGCATTGCTTGGTTGACTGATACTCAGTATGGGGGGGCTTTTCTCCTTCTTCTCCTTCTTAACTTGTAAATAGTCTATTTAACGGATACATATGGTAGTTCTTGGACAAGTGCTCTTTTTTCTTTTTCTTTTTTTTTTGGTATTTTTTCCCATTACCATTTTCTCGCATGCTCTCTTCCGCCTCCCCCCTCCCCACAATCACCACATCCCCACACTATAGTCCAGGCCTGTGAGTTCTCTTTTTTTCTTTTTTGCTCAGTCTCGCCACCCCTCGATCCACGCCGCCCCCACCCCTGAGCTCTCATACATCACTCCTGTAGCCTTATTTTCCAGACAACATACCATGGACATTCCTCTAGGTCCATAGCTAAAATCTAGTCATAGTTTTTAACATCAGCAAAATATTTTAGAAAATTTTCAACAGTGAAAATTTAAGCAAGATTTACATTGTTTTAAGAGACAACATTCACCCTGGCCCCTTGCACTCTCATGAAATACAGTCTTTTGTATTTTGATATGTAGAACTATAGAGAAGGTATTTTTTTCTTTTAATATGGTGGCTAACTATAATTTCATACTGTGTGTTATTCTTGGATTGGCTAGCACTTTTTCTTTCTTATAAAATTAAGTAGTTTTTTTTTAAGTATTGACATATATGAAAACAGAGCCTCGTGTTTTTAAAAATTAATACAGGAAGAAACCTGTCTTGGAGAAGTTTGGGGATGAAATCTGCAAGTGGAGGGATGGAGGTGGGGACTCTTTGTAAATGGCAAGAGAATCTTTTTCTCATTTCTTCTCTTGCCATTCAAGTCTTCGGGGGGAGGAAAGAAAGCATCCTACAGAGCCTGTAATTCTTGCACGTTGAGATTAAATCTGAACCATCCCCTGCTCGTCCCTCCACCAGCGTGGCAGCCCATCTGAAACAAGATGGGCTGAACGGTCCCAAGTTCCCCAGCATCCAACCCCAGACACTTGAAGCTGGTGCCCTGTTGGGGAAGGAAGAGAAGCGGCTGAAATGCCGGCCGGGTCTTCTCGCCCTTCGTCGCTGCCCCACGCACACAAGCTCTTGCTAAAGTCCCGGATGCCCAGCAAAGGGCATTCCCACACCTGCATGCACGCAGAGTGACCGCGCACAACCACACACACCAAATTCAGAAAGCAGGGCACATGGACATCCTCTTGCCCCAAGACTCCCCGATTTGGAGCACTTTCTGCAAAGAAGGCAAGCGCTACCCCCTTTTTTCTCCCCAAATTTTCCAAGTTGCCCAACCTGGGACTGGTGACGCGTGAATGTGACTCGAGCCTTCCTAGTGTTTGTTGCCCTGGGACCAGGAGGCACTCCCGCGTGCCCAAGAGACGCGCACGCATCACGCGCTCCTTCTAAGCTCCAAGCGAGGACAAAGGGGATCCCGACGGAGTAAAGGGTCGCCGGGCTTTGGGGAGAAGGTCTCTTGGGATACCTGCGAGCAACATAGGGGACAGCACCCGGGGACTCCGCGCTCTCCCTTTCCCGGGTTGTGCTCACCATTTGTAGCCTCTGCCGCGCTTGAACTTGAGGGTGAGCGCAGTCTCCAGGAAGAGCAAGAGGGTGAGCAGCGAGAGCAGCAAGTACATCGGCTCCTCATATACCTTGGCCACTCTCCAGACCCCGACCAGCGAGTGCAGGAAGAACAGCAGCCGGGTGACCAGCGCGTTGAACAGGACCAGTCCCTCCATGCTGGCAGGCGCGCTCTGCCCTCCCGCTCACTCGTGCCCCGCGGACCCCGCCAAGAGCGCCTGACCCCGGCCGTCCGTGAGCTGGAATGTGACAGTTCCGAGACCTGCTGCCACTGTGGTTCCTCCTCACCCTCCCGCGCGCGCTTAGAACAGGAGAGAGTGGCTCGCCCCTCCCCCAAACTTCCTGAGAACTCTTCAAAGAGCTGGAGACTCTAAGTCCAGCCTGTCAGGACTGCTGGGCTTTCCCGGGCGTCAGGGGCCCGCAGTCCCAGCCCCTGGGCGTTATTCCCCACTGCTTCCCATCCCTTCCCAGTCCCCGGAGCTAGTCTCCATCTCTGCCCTCTACCCACCCCCAGTACCAACCACCCCACCTCCTCGGAGTCCCCAAGAACTTCCATACTCCAAGGGATTGACTGGATAGAGGAGAGAAGTGGACTGAAGGTCAAGGTGCTGCATAGCCAAAAAGGGGGAGAAGACGTATGTGGGTCATCTTCTTTTGGCTTTTCCACTGAAGTACCTTAACTCTCTCACACTTCCTACAAGATAAAGCTCTCATGGTGCCTCTAAACTGGGAAGGAGAAGAGCCAAGGGTTCTGCTGTCCAAGCAGTTTTAGGAACGAGGTTCCTGCCCAGTTAGAAGAACTAAAACTTCAAGGAATAGAAGAATTCAGACTTTCCCATAGAAGAACACTGGGCTTTCTGAGAGCTCTCTACACCTCATTAATGGGAAACTGGGCCTCTTCTGTTCTTTGGACACAGTGTTAATAAAGAAAAGAAATAGTCTTTATTATGTCATCTGCCACCCCCACCCCCTACCTCATCCCCCCCCATTTTTTTTTCTGAAAGCGTATAGTAGCAGGACAAGAAGGCAGAGGGGAAATCGAGAGAGGAGACCGGAGAGAGAGCTGGGAGTTAGAGGAGGAAAAATCCATGAAGCAGGAAACTGCACCTTGAGATCAATGACGAGTAAATTAAACTCTGGTCTTCCCAGCGTCCAGGGCAAAGAGCAAACTGAAGTCAGGGTTTTCCAAAATACCTCAATGATGTTTGTTTTCCTGTTTGGTCTCCTACCACTGGCACCACTATTTACTCAACATTTTCCTTTAAACAAACTCAAATTTGTACCAAAGTAATTTTAAAAGGAAACTTTATACCACTTGTAAATGGAAAATATCAGTACAGCAGGCTACAGATGGAAGGTAATTACAAAAGTAAATAACATGAATCTAAGTTACTGAAAGCTCCCTACATATTATTGCTTTCTAAAGCTCTGTGCCTCAGTATCCCTTTTCCTGGGGAGATAAACAAATGCTACTCACATTGCTACCAAGTCAGAATGCTTTTTTGACCACAGTAGTAAAATTGAAGGAAAAATGCAAAAGAAAACCTTTCTTAGTTAGGCTGATTTAACTTAAACTCATGCCATACCTGTCTTAAAATAAGATTGAAAACTCTGAGTTTGATGACTAATATCCTCTTAGATTAAAAAAATGCAGCTGCTTAGAAGAAGCTCATTTATTTCTGGTACTGCTAGTAGAGAGAAATTTTTCTTTTTCCTGTGGGTCTGCATTCTCTCATATATTACAGAAAACCCAGCAGTGATTTGCTGGGGCTGCTTATTATAGTGCCCTCCAGTGCAGACTGACGACCTCGTGACCTGTGGCACACACTGGTGTGTGTAGCGGGAGAGCCCAGCAGCCCACCGGTTCAGCTGGAGGCAGCGTGGTGTGGGCATCGGAGCCACAGCACCCGACCAGCTGGCTACCTTGGATTCTTGGCCTAGCTACTTTGTAGTGCTGTAAACTTTGTACCTCAGTTTCCTCATCTATAAATGGGGTGCTAAGCCTATCGACTCAGAGGGTCATTGATGGGATCAAATGAGTTAATCCATATAAAGCATCTGGCAGGTGGTGAGTGCTTGGTAAATGCTGGTGACTATTTCCTGGACCAATCAAAGCAGCTCTTTGATTACCAGAGACGATGATAGGAGTGGAGTCGAGAAACATGGCATTCCTAAGGCCTGTCACAGCCCTCCAGCTGAACACCAGCAGGAACACAGCTGTTGCTGAACAAGTTGGGTTATTACTCTTTTAGAGAGAAGAACACGCTTCATGGAGAACCATGGGGCATCTCAACAGGAAGGTGTTAGAGAGCTTAGGAAGGACTTATTAGAAAGGATTTGGGCTGGTGTTAGGTGATTTGGGGGAGGGCTTAAGAAAGTGGGGTTTTGCTCTTATTAGATGATATCGGGGAGTGGGATTAATTCTATGACTGAGTGTCTCAATAACGCTGATGAGGTAGAGGAGTGTTTGTTCATGTCTGTTGCTTAGATGATAGTCATGTTTTTCCTGTGTTTAGAAACGATCGCAGGGTGGTCCTCTTTTTGTGCTGACCCATCACACTCAGAGTGGTCTTGCCTGATGTTGCTGTTCTGTGGATTCTTTGTGTTCAACAGAAGGCTACCAAGGCCCAGCTGATGGTCCCAGACCAGTTGCCTGCTGTTAGGAGTAGCTTTCTTTTTACCCAGCCTCCTGGAGGGCTCTCTAGGAAAAGGGTTAAATAAAAGAGGGAGGTCAGTCTGACATCTTCCAACCCATTTTTGTGGTACCCTATCTTGAAGGTTTAGATTCAGTATAGGTTCTGTTGTCTCTGTATGTGAAAAGCAAAACTGTCATTAAAGAGAATGTTAAGGTTATTTATTTTAAATTTTCTCCTAAGCCCATTTTAGAAGACTGAAGTCTTTGAAAAATATCTTGGAACCTCCAATGCAATAGCCCAATAATCTTTTTAAAAAAAGAAGAAGAAAAGAAACTCAGCAATTTGTAAAAATTTACTCTTTTTTCCTAAAAAAAAAAAGAGTAAATTATTTTTACTTAAAAAAAAGCAATGTCAGCCTCCACATGCCAGGCCCTATGATACGGGGCTGGGGTAGCACTGAGGCGGAAGGAGCTCATCCCATTGTCTGAGAGGACAGCAATCAGCAGGCAAAACGAACATAGTTTTCAGAATTCTCTTCAATTACAGTGATTTTGGTTACACACACAAAAAGTCTTTCTCAAGATAGCTCAAGTAAAAGGAATAGTTATTGGAAGGATGCACGTGGCCCAACAAGGGAGATGGAATCCTGTGGAAACCAAGTACAGGGGGTGTAGTCGGGCAGGGCCTTGGGCACCTGGAACAAGAGGACAGCTGTGGACTTAAGCGGCTCCAGCATCACGTGGTTGCAGTTTGTGGACCTTTCAGAGTGACTCTCTGACACTGTCAGTTTTCAGCCAAATCTTTCCATAATCTAAGTTCAAATTCCTGAGAAAATGTATTCAATTGAATCTCTTCAACTCTAGGTAGCAGGTCAATTTGTGACCACTGACAGTGGCCATTCCCATATAAAGACCGATTTAGTGCTTTCTTCATTCAACATGGGCTTCTGGGTAGGGCAGTTTGAGCAGGGGGAGGAAGCGATAACAGGCACATTGACTGACACATCTAGTGCCATTCGGCCCTGGGGTGACATGCACACATCCTGTATCTATAATGCCAAGGATGTCCCTGCCCTAAGCATTGTGCATGCCATTATGGGCCCACCTGCAGTTCCCAGCGGTGATGTAGTCCAAAGTCACATCTGCATCTGGAGGCCACTAAAGCTGCAGGTTGGTCTCAAAAGCAACCTGCAGCTTTAAGAGGCTGTGTATGTACAGCCTCTTAAATTCATTCCTACCTTAGCTCCATTTTCATCCTTCAGGCATCACTCTTGTACACAATATGTATGTATACATATATAGTTTATTGGAAAAAGTTATACACTATAGGAGACTACATTCTATTCCTTGGAAGAATTATTCACAATTAAAACCTTCCATTTTTATTTTTTCTGGTACTTACAACTGTATCTTTTAAAAAATCTATATGCCTATTGAGAATTGATTTACCAACTTATAAAAATGTTGAATTCTGAGTTTGAAAGTTGGGGTGTGCAATACTCCTAATACGGTCTTTCTTCCTCATTCCACTTCGACTACCCCAATTTTATTGGTAATAACATTCTGTTTTTTAGTTGTCATTAAATCTACTGCCTTGTCAATTGGTTAATCCTATAACTTGAAGACCAGTTCAATGTATTTTTCAGATATGATGTATGCTTCCCCTAAACTTGGAAAAACATCATTCTTTTCTAGAACTGACAAGAAGCATTACTGATAAGTCTGGTGTTCATCCCATTGTCTTTTCTTTGTGGATAAGTATTTTTTAATCTCTGCAATTTTTAAAGATTTATATTATCCTTAGAATGCTTATCATTTCAATGTTTCTAGATATTGGGCTTTTTTATGTACTCCAGTGGGTGCAGTAGTCATGTCTTTATTTAGACAAGTCAAACCCTCTGTTATTTCTTTGATAATTTCTTCTTTATAGTTTTTGTTTCTCATTCTAAAATGTTTTCTATTTCCTATCTTTGTCTTTTTTATTTATTTTCTGGTGGAGCTTCTAAATGTTATTCTCCAGATGTCTAAATTAACCTGCCAATGATTTTATTTTGCTATTTGACTCTATCAACGATTGTTTTAATCAACTTATTTTGCAACAAGCTTTTCTAATCATTGAACCCTGTTTTCCCCCTATAGTATATTGTTCTTGTTTGATGGATGCAGTATGTTTTTAAATTATTTAGAAATATTACTCATAACTTTTTAATGGTTTTGTCTTGAATTATTTCTGTTTGCATTTGTTAGTTGCTCAGTTTATTCAGTTCCTTCAATTTCAGGATTTTATAATCTGGTAACCCTCACATGATCTAACAATCCTTTGTTCTTTCATATTTGCAGATAAAGAACTGGGCTGGCTAAAAGACATAGCTAGTATAAGTGTTCTGAGTTGCCATCTGTCTATTAAATGGAAGAGCTGGCCATGGTCCTAGTGCTTGGGCAAGATACACTGTGGGTCAGCCTCCCTGTGGAGTGTGGCGAGAAGCAGGCAGTGTTGTGAATGTAAGGAGGGTTCTTTTGAAAGCTGGTGCTCAGTGCATCTCATTCAGTCCTGGGTGAAACCACTTTGATTTCTCTCCTCTAGCTCATCCCCCAGCACAGGCTGCTTCATGATCCAGATCCAAGCCCCAAAATGCTTTGATTTTCTTTATGCTTTTAGTAGGAGTCTCAACCACCTCAACCACCCATTCTTCTTTAAAGAACAGTTCTCAGATTTTGGCTTGAAATCATTGATGACTCTAAGAAAAAAAGCAGAGATGATCTCCAACCACTTCCACTGTTCTGAAAA